GAGACGCAAAGTGAGATAGCATTGTATGAAAACAAAAAGTATGTGATACGGAGGCCAACTTTTACAAGATAGCTTGTCCTTGAACTCGTCATACCGATAAACACTGCTTCGCCCTAGTAGCACCACGAGCGAGAAAGAGGAAAGACGTATGTTGGTGGATAGTTTCGTTTNCCGGTTGTCATGAGTGATCAGTATGTCCCTTTGGCTTTACTATTTACACCTCCTGTTCAGCAAACAATGGTTGTTAATGAAAAGGAAGATATGAAACAAGTCGTCCCACGAAACTGTTAATCACGTTTAACGAGCCGTAGTTTGAATCGAAACATTTTACAATTCAGTGTACTTTTCAGTTTGAAGTAGTATATACTCAGATAAATGACATACCTGGGCCGGAGAGCATAGCTTTAATAGTACCGCTGGTGAGGGCGTACTCACGCCGAACATAGAACTCGTGGTCATCTGAGGAAACCAGCTTCACGTACATAGCATCAGCGCCCTCCGCACCACCATATTTCTGTTCAGTTGCAGTAGATGGAGCTGCTTGAGCATCGGCCATTGGATCCCAAAAGTTTTCCACACACAGATGTCAGATTTGCTAGGGAGTAAAAGAGGCAATCAAAAACAAGGAAATGGATGCTCGCGTTTTCAAAAGCTATTCACATGCATAAAATGATAGATGGGATATCATTTTCCACCCGTCTCTAATTGATTCAGTTTGATCGAGAGCTTATCAGACTCCAGGTGGGCAACTGCTCCTCCCGAAATGCCCTGGAAATGCTCTCAACTTACAAAGCGTTCAAAATAATTTCGGTAGAAAGCTTTCGCACGGTAGAGGTGCTTTCCTTGGAATGAAAGAGCACAGCCGAACGCCCGGAGCTCTCCACTAGGTTGACTGATTGCTGTCATCCAGTTCAATACCACGCCTAATCTAGCGGGGTCTTATGCGGTTCACCACTCCAAGTCCCGGGGCTAAGGGTACCGGTTTTCATCACTGAACAGCAGGTTTTCGTGGTCTACCTAGTCTGCAGAAGTGTAATAAAAATCACCCATCAGACTTAGTGTAAAAAAATCCAGTGGATCCCATCTTAGATACAACGCCGGATTCCACATAGCGCTTTACATTTGGATTCGATCACGATGGCGCTCACCAGCAAGCGTAAGGACCAAAAGAAACGAAACAATTGGCCGCATCCAAAAGATGTATTTAACGGACTGTCAGTCAACGACTCGTGTACTCTCCGCATCACCTGTTCCATGGATTAGGTTCATAAACCAAAGGCTCCGGGGATGAGCATCAAGAAAGCCTTTCATTTCGGCTTGAACAACAGGTTAGTATAACGACCGCAAACTAGCCATGAAATAACCCTGACAGACAGCTGGATATCACAGTCGGAAAAAAGGTAACTTAAGCCCGAAAACAAACATGAGGATTGATCGTGATTAACAGTGGACTGTAACGTACAACACGAGTAATGGCTCACATGGAAAAAAGAGAATATACCAACGTTAGTGTACTTCAGTCGGATTCAACACAAGGCATAAGTACAAAGAAATAAGTATGAAAATGAAAGGTGTCGGAGAATGAATACCTGGTGAAACCCTGTAGCTTTTCATGCTTCCATCCAACCGGAAAGATATATGCGAGATGTTTTATGTATGGTGATAAGGTCTGACGTGGTTTCAAGCGAGACCTTTGAGAACGGATTAAGATCATACATAACTACTTTAGTGCTTCAAAATATTCCCAAGTTTACCATTAACATTACCATTACCCAGAGACGAACTATGAGTATTCGTGTTCACTCGCTCCTCGCTGAATACTTATTACAGTGGCGTGCAACAAGAAAGATTAACAGAAGTTACCCCAGAAAACCTGATATTCCAGGCGATAATAGGAAAAGTCCAACAATATTCCAGTACACTTAAAAGGTACAAAGCATTAACGAACGATGGGATGCATATGGCAATTTTTCAATTGGGTTTCTTTTTCCAATTATTTCACGAATCATTAGGATTCAGAGACTTGGCCTTTACTGGAACAAGATAAAAATAGATTATCGGTGTTCGAACACCACTGTCTACGTCGCATTGCACGAGTCTGGTGGGGTAACCGGATAAGTAATGCTGAGGGTAGGCGTTAGGTTTTAGACATTCGCGGTCGTCTTTTGGAGCAAGTGATCGACCTGCAAAGATCACGTTGGTTAAGGCATGTGTTACGAATGTCACCAGATACGTTGCGGCGGCGAAGACCCGGCATGAGGGTATGAAAACCATAACCAGGAGACTAGGTCACAGGCCTCGTTAGGCTCCTTGGCTGCAGACCTCGGGATGATGGTGACCGATGGTTAGAAACACTGTGTGATATGGCTGAGTGTCGCAAACAGTGGCGCTCGTACATTCACTCATTATTCCCCTATCACTATTCTATATAAATTCTCCATCTTCCGCTCAAATTTGCTTTCAACCTTCCAATCTTCATTGGGCTCTTTTATCCAAATGAGCAACCAAAAGACAGCAACCAATACCGGCGTACGAAAGTGCATGGTTAATGGTAGTAAAAGCTGAACTGAACTGAACGGATGGGTAACACCCCCAGTGACTCAAACCAAAGTGCTGTTATAGTAACACCGATTTTGTCTTTTACCCAGTCAAAAATTGGAGACAGTCATCTTGGGATCAGTTTAGTCCAGTTCTTACAACCATTAACCATGCACTTTCGTGCCCCGGTTTTGGTTGTCCATTTGAATAAAACAGTAGAATGATGATTAGAATTTTGAGAGCAGATTTAAGCGGAAGGTAGCGCATTTTCAAAGACTGAAGTTACAACAATAATGAATAGATGCATGAGCACCACTGTTTGCGACACCCAGCCATATCGCGCAGTGTCTCTAACCACCGGTGACCATGATCTCTGGGTCCCCAACCAGGGAGTCTAACGGGACCTATGTGAGCTAGTCTCCTGGGCGGGGTTTTTATACCCTCATGCCAGGTCTTAGTTTGACCGCCCTTCATATTTTTCCAACCGCTACCTGTCTCGCCAAGCATCGCTCGCTGTGGCAACCTATCTGGTGATATGCGTAGCATATGTCCCAACCAGCGTAATCTATGAAGATCGATCCTGTTCCAGTGGACGACCGCAAATACCTAGAAAACTACGCCTAACCTCAACATTGCTCATCCGGTTTCCCCACAAGACTCGTGCAATGCTATGTAGACAGCGATGTTCGAACACCGACAGTCTATTTCTATCCTGTTCCCCTAAGTCTCTGCACCGTAAAGCAGAACTGGCCGAACTGCTGCAGCATATACTTGACCCTTCACAAACAGCCGGATGTCGCGACGGCACCACAGATGTCTCAAGTTGGCGAATACCAACCGAGCTTTCTGTATGCGCGCCGACACTTCATCTGTGATTCGTCCGCCAGGTGAGATATAGCTGCCCAGATAGCAAAAGGTGTCTACTTTCTCTACAACTTCCCCGGTCAGGATGAGGCTGGGGACTGGGCCAACTCAATCTTGGAGCAGCATTTTACACTTTGAAGGTGCAAAGCACATGCCGCACTAGCACTCAAACTATCCAGAACAGCTTGCAACTTAACTGGACATCTTCAGTGTACCCGTAGTTATTACGCAACTATCAGAGGTGTATTTGGTTCACCCATCTAAGTTCCGGAATATAAACTGTCGGTCTCCATTACTAAACAGATCCTTGAGATAGTGCGATTCGAAAGAAGATACATGTCACAAGATATTGACACTTTTGAATAGAGAAGCCCGAAGCTTTGGAAATTAGAAATAAGGGGTCACCCCCGTGGCAACTGTAGTCCATATTAACCCTGATTAACAAGTTTAATGAAACGTAACGATACTTTGCGGTTCCTCGATATTTCAAATCATGGTGTTGAATCGGATTAGAAAAAATTTCAAGATCAGCTTGTCAAACGACCAAATAAAAATTGAAAAGATTACTCGGCACACTGCTACGAAAGCATTAGCGTTTCAGATACAATCGTCTGAAGATGTACATACTGTCACACCTACCAAATTTACACAAATACAAAATCACAGGCGATGAAGCTTTAGATTGCACTAAAAAGGTCGAGTTCAATTTGGAAACCTCAGCAAGCAAATAAAGGACCTTTCATTCGCATAAATAGAAAACGACGATTCAGTTCAGTTCAGTTATTTTCACAGCTATTAACCATGCACATTCGTATGCCGTTTTTGGTTCCTATCTTTTCGCTGGATAAAAGACGATAACGAAGAATGGAGTGCTGAGAGCAGAGTGCAAGCTAAGATAGAGAACTCAAACAGACTGAAGTTGCAAGAATAATGAGTGGATGCACGAGCGCAACACGTAGCCATATTAATCAGTGAGTCTTACCCCCGGGTACTGTGATCCCTGGGTCCCCATTTACGGAGCACAACGCGACCTATGTGACCCAGTGACCTGGTTAGGTTTTCATTCCCTTAGGCCAGGTTTTAGTTTGGACGCCCTTGACCTTTGAGGATAGGCAGCCGGTCATAGTAAACATCACTCACTGTGGTAACTCATTTGGTGACATGCACAACACATGTCCCAACCAGCGTAATCTATGAAGATCGACTACTTGCTCCAAAAGACGACCGCGACTGCCTAAAACTCTACGCCTAACTTCAGCATTGCTAGTCCGGTTACCCCACCAGATTCGTTCAATGCGATGTATAGGACGGTGTTCGAACACCTACGATCTATTTCCATCCTATTCCCTTAATGGTCAAGTCTCTTCACCGTAAAACAGCACTGACCGAACTGCTGCAGTGTACACTCGACCCTGCGCAGACAACCGAATGTCGCGACAGCGCCACAGATGTCTCAATTTGGCAAATGCCAACCGAGCCTTCCGTATGCGTACCGACACTTCATTTGTGACGCGTGTGCCAGGTGAGATATAGCTGCCCAGATAGCAAGTTTCCCACTTCCTCAGTTAGAATGAGGTTTGGGACTGGGCCAACCGAATTCTCTTTGTAAAATTTTACACTTTGAAGGTGCAAAACACATACCAAATTTAGATACATTATCACTCAGACTATCTAGAAAAGCTTGCAACTTATAGGGATCTTCAATCAGTAGCAGTGGTGTGTGCATGTTTTTTTGTTTCATTACAAACAACTGTGAGGAACAGACGGGGTGGACTCCATACTCACGAAGTCCTGCTGTTCAGCGCTAGTAGCCATCCATCCAAGTCCCGAAACTTGGTGTAACGAACCACATAAGGCCCCGCTGGATTAGGCGTGGCATTGAACAGGAAGACAGCAAAGTTGCCTACCACCGAATACTCCAGATCAGACAGTCTACCACCTGGGGGCTCATCAATTCAGCTATCCTCGCACAAGGAGACGGCTGTTTCAAATTTAATTGGTATGTAGCAGTGCGATCCTGAAATCGCGTCCCCAATACGCAGCAAACAGCAATCCCTGAGGATTCCATTATACGCGTCAGACACGCTTACTGACCCATCTGGATCAGAGTTCTCATATTGAAGGCCCCCGGGTTCAATAATTGACGAGGCTTTA